GTTTTAGCTGCGCTCTCCATTTCTGCTTAGTTCCCTGAGCGCTTTGTGATTTTGATGCTGGTTTGTGTGTTGTTGCAGGTAGCTACATCACCACCATCGGTGTGGACTTCAAGATTCGCACGGTGGAGATCAACGGGGAGAAAGTCAAGCTGCAGATTTGGGATACAGCGGGACAGGAGAGATTTCGGACGATCACCTCCACGTGAGTGATGCTTTACACTGATGCTGCCTCCTATCTAGGATGCTTTCTTTCTGACAGGTTTGAGAGCAGCATTGCATGCGTCCTAATGAACTGAACTCAGACTCGGTTGTGAGTCGAGTGTCCCTGTGTAGAGCCTTCCAGTTTATACACTTATGCTATTCTTACTCCTTTAGGATGCTGCGCTAGAACAATGTAGACGGATCAGAGAAGGGTACATGATTAATCTAAACAAAACTGAAATTGCTGTATGGCTTACTGCGAATGTGAACACAATTAAAATAAAGAATGAGCACAAAAGCAGTGTTAAGTCGCTGGGGTATATTTGTAGCAATAGCCAAAAGTACATTTTATGGGTCAAAATTATTATATATTTTTCTTTTATGCCAAAAATCATTAGGACATTAAGTAAAGATCATGTTCCATGAAGATATTTTGTAAATTTCCTACCGTAAATATATCAAAACTTAATTTTTGATTTTGATGAATTGCTAAGGACTGTATTTGGATCATTTTAAAGGCGATTTTCTCAATATTTAGATTTTTTTGCACCCTCAGATTCCAGATCTTCAAATAGTTGTATCTCAAATGCCAAATATTGTCCTATCCTAACAAACCATACATCAATTGAAAGCTTATTTATTCAGCTTTCAGATCATGTATAAATGTAAATTTCGAAAAATTGACACTTAAGACTGGTTTTGTGGTCCAGGGTCACATATTTTAATCAGTTTTTATAGGATTTAAGCCCTTTTCAGGATTTTTTTTTCTGAATTAAACTTATTAAACTGATTTTGTTGGAATCAAGCATTTAGATTAATCAGTGCAGTTCTCTGTATCTAAATTTTGTTCAAGGATTTATAAGGATTTCAGCAGGTAATAGTGTTGTCCCATGTCTGATCTAGCAAAGGGCATCATATAAGTCATCTTTTAAACATCTTCCAGCTGTTTGAAAGATGTGTAGAGTATAATAGCACCCAAACAAATATTGTCAACTTCATAAATGGATTTTGAGATATGGAGGGATGAGAAAAGTCCCATCCTGAGATGATTTTTCAATCAGAGGGCATATGCAGTGTTCTCGACAGGCCATTTCAGAGTGGACACTAAAGTGCTGCCAGCCAAAACTGAATCCATTTCTTCCCTTAAACTGACAATTGCAAAATAATTGACTTGGCTTGTGTGAGATTTATGCAGCAATCTCTTTCATTTTCTCTGGAATGTTGCAGTTTTCTCTAAATCTAAAGCTGTTATATAGGTTTAAAC